TTGAAGTGTCTGTTCAGGTTTTGTTTTTTTTTCCTATTTTAAATATTGGGCTATGTGTCTTTTTATTGAGTTGTTTGTAGGAGTCCTTTGTATGTTCTGTGTATAAATCCGTCGTTACTTACGTTTTGGGTTAGTTTTTGCATGTCTGATTTTCTGGTCCATTTTCCCTATGATTTCTCTCATTCTAAGAGGAGGAAGGGGAGAGGGCCAGGAAGAGGAGGGAGCTGCGACTGTGGGCAGGGCAGGGCAGGCCACGAGAGTAGGAGGAGAGCAGAAAAGGAAGAGGAAGGAACGTCTGTACTATCTTTGCATCTTTTGATGTACTGGGTTTTTTTTAGCAATATTTTTTAGTTGTAGATGAACACATATCTTTATTTATTTATTTTTCTACTGTGGTGCTGAGGGTGGAACCCAGGGCCTCACACGGCAAAGCAAGCGCTCTATCACTGAGCCCCAGCCCCAGCCCCTTTTTTTTGTACTAGGGATTAAACCCAGGGATGCTCTACCACTGAGCCTTACCCCCAGCTCTTTTTATTTTTTACTTTGAGACAGGGTCTTGCTAAGTTGCTAAGACTGTCCTTGAACTTATGATCCTCCTGCCTCAGCCTCATAGAGTAGCTGTTATTACAGGGGTGGCCATCACATTTGGCTGAAATTTTTAATGTCAAACCCAGTGTAAGGAATTATCTCCTTTTTATGGTTTTTGTTTTCTGTTCTCTCTTAGAAATCTTTAATTATCCCCAGGCTGGGACAATGCTATATTTTCTTCTAAAAATACAACTTTAACTTTTACAATTAGGTCCATGATCCATCTCAAATTAATTTTTGTGTATATTGTGAGGTACAGAGGTCAAGGATTATCTTTTCCCCAGTGGATATCTAGTTGTTCCAGCACCATTTGTTAAAGATGTTTCTAAAGGAGAAAAAAAAAAATGTTCCTTTTCCTCATAGGCTGCTTTGTCAGAAGCCAGTTGACTACAAAAGTGTGGGTCTGGGCTGTTTCTCCCTCTGAAGGTGGTCCACATTCTCCTTTGAATGTGTATACCTTGCTTTATCCTCAAAACTTTTTGTCTTGAGATGGACCACATTGTCCCTTGAACGTGCCTCTGCTTTCCTAAATAAACCTCTGCCTGTGTCTCTGGCTGGTGCATGCTGAAATTCTTTTCCATCACGGATGTCAAAAACCCTACTGGAACTCAGTTGTTCCTTTCTCTCCAGGAGCTCCTCAGACTCTTCTTCAGAAACTTTTCTTCTCCTGTGACAATCTTTCCACCTTATTCTGAACTAGTTGATATCTTTAAAAATAAAGTGTGTCATAAAAAAAGTATAGGTCTGTGTGGACTCTATTCTGTTTCATGGATCTCTTTGACTTTGACTATCCTTATTTCAACTCCCTACTGTTTTTTTTTTAAGAAGGGTTTGTCATATATATATATGAATGTGTGTGTGTGTGTGTATTTATGTATGGGTGTGTGTGTGTGTGTGTATATATATATATATATATATATTATAAAGCAGAGAGGGGAGCCAAGCTTTGTGTAGCCTCTGGTCACAGGGGGGCTACCTCATACACACACACACATACCCATAAACATATATATATATATATATATATACACACATACATACATGCATATATGTATTTTATGGATCTTTATTTATTTATTTATATGTGGCGCTGAGAACTGAACCCAGGGCCTCACACATGTTAGGCAGGTGCTTTACCACTACAACCCCAGCTCCCCCTTCTGTTTTGGTTCATGTAGTTTAACAGTATGTTTTGAAGTTGGGTAATATTTATCTTCCAGCTTAGTTTTTCTTTTTGGAAACGTTTTGCCTACTTTGAGTCCTTTGTATTTCTGTAAATATTTTAGAACCAGCTTGTTAATTCCATACAAAATAAAAACTACAGAGATTTTGAATGGGATTATGTCAAATCTATAGCAGTTCATGGAAGAATTCATATCTTTTTTTTTTTTTTTTTTTTTGATATTGGGGATTGAACCCAGGGATGCTTAACTACGGAACCTCATCCCCAGCCCTTTTTATTTATTTTGAGATAGGATCTTGATAAGTTGCTTAGGGCCTCACTAAGTTGCTGAGGCTGGCCTTGAACTTGTGATCTTCATGCCTCAGCCTCCTGAGCTGCTGGGACTACAGGCATGTGTCACTGCACCTAATTTATTCTGCCTTCTTACAGTAAACACTTCATAATAAAACTTTTAAAGTCACAAATATCCTTCTAAGTGTCGTCAAAACTTCAATGTGCTGTGCTTTACTTTTTGATAATCTAATTTCGCGTGAGATTTCTTCCTTACCCATGGATTTTTAGAAATCTGTTGTTTCATTCCCAAATACTCGGGGCTTTTCTAGATAGTTTATGATGGCTTATTTCTAATTTAATTCCATCATGGCCAGCCAGCATGTTCTGTCCATTTTCAGTCTTGGAGTTTATCAAGACTTAGCTCTGATGCAGTGCATTCCTGTCTGGGTGAGTGCCCTGTACATCCTTGAATGATGTCGGGTGGAGGTGGTCAGTAGTGCTCTTAGGAGCTTCGGTATAGTTACTGTTTTTGTTTTTTTTTTTTAAAGATCATTGTATCAAATATAGGAGAGGGTGTTCCGTCTCCAGCTTTCTTTACCTGTCAGTTACTTCACGTATGTTGAAGCTGTTACTTACTGTATGTGCATCTAGAATCCCTGTCACCCTCACCAGGGCCATGCTGGTGTTTCAGCTGTTGAACTGCCAGCTGCATGCTGGCAGGCTCACTGCAGACCTCCGAGCGCCAGTGCCCACAGGACTGGCTCCAGCACTATGGACTATGTAGTGTTTTGACTACAGTCCTGGCTGTGAGGGAGGAGATAGGGGAAGGTAATGAAGAAGAGGCCCAAAGCTCTTAGTCACAGATATTCTTAGACTCAGTCTAGTCTCTCTTCAGGCTGTTCCTATGTATCAGGCTCCCATGTGGTTGCTAGCTTGAGAGCAACTGATTTAAGAGCCACATTGATTTAAAAACTGTATAATAAATTCTGGACGTGGTCACACACGCCTGTGATCCCAGCCACTTGGGAGGCTGAGGCAGGAAGATCACAAGACCAGCCTCAACAACTTAACAAGGTGCTGTCTCAAAGTTTAAAAAAAAGTGCTGGAGGGGCTGGGGCCGGGGCTCAGGGGCAGAGCACTTGCCTGGCATGTGTGAGGCACTGGGTTCGCTCCTTAGCACCACATAAAAATGAAACAAATAAAGTCATCCTGTCCATTTACAACTACAAAAAAAGGTCTGGGGATATAGTTCAGTTGGTAGAGTGCTTGCCTTGTATGCACAAGGCCCTGGGGTTAATCCCCAGCACCACACCACACACACACACACACACACACACACACACATACACACACACATACACCAAACACAACTACAAAAAATAAAAATAAAAAGTGTCAGAGATGTGGTTCAGTGGTTAAGCACCCCTGGGTTCAGTTCCAGGCACTAAAATGAAAAACAAAACACAATCAGAAAAACTCAATTATAATCAGAACCTTTCCCAGCTGTGCTGTGACCTAGCCCTGCTGTTGCTGGTAGTGTGGACCTTATCCAGGTAGCAGGATCTTACCCTTCTTCTGTATAGGTCTGTAGGGGCTCAACAAACCCTTTTATTTAAGAATGGGCTGGGGATATAGCTCAGTTGGTAGAGTGCTTGCCTTGCATTTACAACACCCTGGGTTCAATCCCCAGCACCACCAAAAAAAAAAAAAAAGAACAGAATTAAAAAAAAATTAAAGTATAGTAATGTGCTGTTGGATATAACTATTCCCTGAATAACCAAACAAGATGCTGAGCAATTGTAGGAAAGAAGAATATCCCCACAATTGGTTCCTTCGGAGCCTCTGAGATGGAAGTCCCTTGGGCATGAAGTCACTGGATCAGTGTGAATCCCCTCCCACCATGGGAGGTGCGTCCCTGGAAGGGTGTCTGGAAAGCAGGGACAGCTGGTCATGGGCCTAGCACTTACAGTGGTGTGATTTGGATATGGAAACAGTGTCAGGCTGAGCAATCAAAGACGACCCCAAGCGAGACACCTGCAAGGACTACACCTGTCCCCCCAGGCAGAGGAGATGGCAGAAAAGACAGACTTCATCAAAGATGAGGTGGAGGGAGGGGCTGGGCTGTGGCTCAGTGGTAGAGCGCTTGCCTGGCATGTGAGAGGCACTGGGTTCAATTCTCAGCACCACATAAAAATAAAATAAAGATATTGTGTCCATCTACAACTAAAAAATATTAAAAAAAAAAAAGAAGATGAGGTGGAGGCTGGGTCTGCTTTTGGAATTTTGAAATGCATATTTTCAGATAGTATGTACATTTCCTATAAACTGATTAATGTAGTTTAATTATTACCCTTAATTTTAAATAAATTTGTCAATTAATTTAATCAGAAAACTTAGTCTTTTTTTTTTTTTTTTTTTTTAAGTACTGTGCATTGAACTCAGGCACTTGACTACTGAGCCACCTCCCCAGCCCTATTTTGTATTTTATTTAGAGACAGGTCTCACTGAGTTGCTTAATGCCTTACTCTTTTAGCCGAGACTAGCTTTGAACTCGCGATGTTGCTTAACGCCTTACTCTTTTAGCCGAGACTAGCTTTGAACTCGCGATCTTCCTGCCTTATGTCTCCCTAGCTGCTGGGTTTATAGGCGTGCACCATTTTTAATATTAATTTTTTTTTATCTTAATATGTAAAAGAAACTACAAGAGAATCTTTCAGGATAATAGATGGGGAAACTTTTCATGTATTTCCTAAGCTATGAGAACTTTAATTTTTATAGGATGATATAAGAATATGCTAACTTTAGTTTCTGATGAGAACAGTTTGACCCGATTAACTTGCTTGAAATATTTGCGAGTTTAAAATTTTCAAACATGGATAATGAATGTGATTTGGTAGCTCTAATTTTAAAGTTAACCTAAATTATAAATCAGTTATCTATTTTTACCTACAAATAGTATTGAGCAGGTGAACAACCTACGAGAGGTACAAGCACTGAGGCGTCTGAATCCACACCCAAACATTCTTACGTTGCATGAAGTAGTTTTGTAAGTATATTTGGAGCTTAAAAAATTATGTATTTGAAAATTTGTTATTGATTAAATCTCCTTTTAAGAAAACCATGGTAGACTTACAATATTTATAGCTCAGAGAATAATAATTTTCATTTCACCGTACGTTGCATTTCTACTTGGACAATTGCGTATCTGACCCCTCATTTGGAGGTGTCTTCAGAGAGGTGACCTCATATGGTGGCAGCACGCAGCATTCAAGGTTTGGCTCCTAAAGCTTGGTTTGGAACTCTGAAGGCTTGAACATGAGTCACAACCTCCCAGGCGAGCCCTGGGATGCTGTTTCATGTTCTCATCTTGTTGCTAACTGATCTCTCTGCAGTCTCTTACAGTCTTTCTTACAATAATTGATGTCATTTCAAGGCATTTCCATTTGTTCTAATTGTAGAGTAGTTTTCATAAGGCTTACCTGCCAATCAAAAAGATAGAGCCTGGCTTGTCCCTTGGTGTGCAGGGGCTCAGGAGGCCTCCTCCCACCAGCATGACCTTGCCACTTCTGGGAAGGTGCTTGTTGGCCTTGCTACAGCTCTGCAGGGACCCTGGCTTATAAAGTTGGCCTGGGAACTCCAGTCTCTGCCAGTTAAAGCTCGATGGATTTTAATCAGAGGATACAACAGTTTTAAATTCAAAACGACTTGTCTTGACATAGCTGTGTGGCCCCTTGACATAGCTGCAGTGTTCTTAGCATGGTTTGCACATAATAATCACAACACTGTACACACACACACACACACACTCTCTCTCTATGCAGAACACTTCTGGCCAGAATCTCCTGAGACCCCTGCCAGGTGGCCTTCTGTGACACAGGCTCCCCTTTAGGGGTTGAATGGAATCCAGAGAAGCTTGTTGGCTGGGCCTGAAGCCTGGAGTATGAGTGAAATGTGACTCTCTCTTCTGCCTGGGGGTGGCTTTTGCTTTTGGCTCTCCAGTTGTAATATATCCCAATTACATGTAAATAATTAGGTACATTAAATTACTGTAAAATTAATTAAAACTAGACGTTCAGTCATAGAGCATGAGTTAAGTTCCTTTTTCTTTTATTGCTTTGCTTAGCTAATTCCCCAGACTTTCTTCTTTCTGCTGGGTTAATTTTATATATTCAAGACATATCTCTTTTTTTAAAAAGTGGCTTTTAGAATTTTCTTAAAATAAATTTTTACGGTTATTGAAAATTAAATTTATCTGAAATATTGGTTGAAAATCAAAATCTCTACTATTTTAATAATTATATTGCCATCTTTGGCTGATGTGGGAGTGCCTTATATTTACCAGAAATGTTTACAGTGAATTAAATATTTGATCATGTTTTCTGATTAAGACCAAAAAAAAATTTAAAACCTGCTTTCTTCTTCAGTGACAGAAAATCTGGTTCTCTTGCACTTATATGTGAACTTATGGACATGAATATTTATGAGCTTATACGAGGTACGTAGACTATTTCAAAAGCTACCTTATAATACTCTTTTAAGTTTGTAGCTCACCTGTATCTTGCTTCCGATCTCATAGTCCTTGGTCACCACAGAGCAGTGGTGACAACCAGGACGGCTTGCTCCTGGAGGCGTTGCTGTGGCAGGCTGGCCTCCCAGGGTGACTGCATGCAGGAAGGGGAGCCAAGGCCTTCTGGTAACCCTGTGATTTGGAAAAGTGGCGCTGAAGGCAGCAGAGCATTGCAGCTTGTGCCTTCCTTGCGGGGTGCCGAGCTTTGGGGCCCCTTGCTCTGAGGTACCTCTCCCTGGGGTCTCCTTGCTGCTTGACTCTGTTCCCTGCTGAACAAGGCAAAGCTTCCCTGAAGATCCTGGCTTTGGGGAACCCCTTGCACCTTGCCGTGCACTGGTGTCCGGGGTGCTCATTATTTCCATCCTTGAAACAGTAAAGCTCTGTTAGGGAAGCTTGGCCTGAGCCGGCCTCAGCCAGGGCCAGCCTTGGGTGCTTGCCGAGGGCACAGCAGAGAGCCAGCAGGCAAGGGGGCAGGTGGTTGGCCCCCAGTGAGCAAGTGTTCCGGGGCTCTGACCTCATGGGTCTGCCAGCTGTTAGGACAATGAACCTGGTGCATATCACTAAGAAACAACAGCCAGTGTCCCATTCAAATCACAATACCCAAGGTCACACGAAGAAAATTAGCTGCCCTAATGTCCTGTGAGTTCAGATGATTGGGAATAGAATTTAAGTGGAAACATCATCGGTGATTTAAAAGCTGTATTATCTCAAACAAGTTAGACTGAAAGCAGCGTGCCACAGTCCCTTCAGATAGAGAGGCAGACACTGGTGCTGAAGAGTCCAAATACAGTTGTCTTTGTGAAGTGACAGGATGAAGACAGTGTTGTGTCAACATTAATATAAGGCGCCCTGGTGTCCTCACCCCATTTCTTTTTGTTTTGCACAAAACCCAGCTCTTGCTCCCGTGGGTTTCACGTCACCTCCTGGTGACTTACAGGACCAGATACAGTGTGGCTGCTGTGGAAATGATGGTTGTTATTAGGAGACAGCGACAAGGGGGAGAGTCTGTACCTGTTGAGCACAACCATTGATGGTTGAATCTACAGATAGGGAACCCACACAGACAGGGATTGCTTGTATTTTATTATGTGATTTTAAATATTTATGTGGTCATAAATTACTAAGAAAATAAGTCGCATGTGTAAGCAAGTTTTTCTACATCCTTAAAAGTTTATGTATATAACTGGTCAAAAACTGTGGATCTTTTTGGGAAAAGAGGAGATTGCCTCGTATCTGGGATTATATGGTATTTCTTTTTTTTTTTTTAAGAGAGAGTGAGAGAGGAGAGAGAGAGAGAGAGAGACAGAGACAGAGACAGAGAGAATTTTTAATATTTATTTTTTAGTTCTCGGCGGACACAGCATCTTTGTTGATATGTGGTGCTGAGGATCGAACCCGGGCCGCACGCATGCCAGGCGAGCGCGCTACTGCTTGAGCCACATCCCCAGCCCCTATATGGTATTTCTTGTTTTGTTTTGTTTTTTGTGGTGCTGGGGATTGAACCCAAGGCCTTGTGCTTTCGAGGCACGCACTCTAGCACCTGAGCTGTATCCCCAGCCCTGTATGGTATTTCTTATACATTACAAACCTCATGTATTTATTCGCTTAGTAATTTGTTTATTCTTGTTTAAGTACAACTCTAACAAATGTAGTCATCTGTTTTTTTGGTCAAAACCACTCAAATTTGAGCTGATGGAGAGAACAAGCCTCTGGGCCTGGACACACCCACAGTGGGAGAAAGTGGCTGAAGATGGTCCAGCAACGGGCAGGAAGCCCAGGGGGGCAGCAAATGTGAGCAGGCTGGGCAGGAGGAGCTGTGTCAGGAGGCTGCAGGGGGCTTTCTGTCTGAGGAGTGAGCCTCGTGAACCTGGGGATTTTACTAACCAGCATCTCATTCCATGTGGTCTGGATAAGGGGGGCTATGCTGGTTCTTCACACTGACCCTCTGCGTGTAGGTCGATTGTCAGTTACAATCCTTGGTTGTCAGAAACAACCCCTATGTTTTATTATTACTTTTTATAATATTATTATTTTTTTTTTCCCAAAACCAGTAAGTCAACATGGCTTTTTTCTTTTTGTAGTACTGGGGATTGAAAACAGGGCCTCACACATGCTAGGCAAGCACTTTGCCACTGAGCTGCACACCCAGCCCCAAATTTTGCTTTTGAAAGAACCTGTACAGGGGCTGGGGATGTGGCTCAAGCGGTAGCGCGCTCGCCTGGCATGCGTGCGGCCCAGGTTTGATCCTCAACACCACATACAAGCAAAGATGTTGTGTCTGCTGAAAACTAAAAACAATAAATATTGAAAAATTCTCTCTCTCTCTCTCTCTCTAAAAAAAGAGAAAGAACCTGTACAATCCCTTGGTGTCAGGTGATGCATCCTGATTTAGAATTCCTGTGGTGCTTCCTAGAGTGTGGTATCTTAAAACTCAAGGGGAGCCGGGAACAGTGGGGCACGCCCCCCCCAGGAATTCCAGTGGCTTGGAAGCCTGAGGCAGGAGGATCGGGAATTCAAACCCAGCCTCAGCAACTTAGTGAGGCCCTAAGCATCTCAGTGAGACCCTGTCTCTAAGTAAAATACAAAAAAGGGCTGGGGGATATGGCTCAGTGGTTAAATGCCCCTGGGTTCAATCCCTGGTTCCAAAAAAAGGGGGGGGCTGTGAGAAGGAGAATTTTCAGCACATTGCTCTGTGTTTAGATATCTGAGAAATCTTTGCTCAGAATAAATATCTTTGATTTCCAGTAGGCAAGGGATTGTATAATTGCAGAAATTGAAGCCTTCTTTCCCCAGTATCTGCCTTCAGGGGCTGCAGCCGATGGCTGTACAGATCCACAGACGTCCACTCCTTATGTTGTTACTGAGCCAGGCCCCTCTGGTTTCCAGCTGTGTACTAGGCCAGTCACTAGAGCAAGGAGTTTGCAAGAGTCATTCCTAAGACAGCCAAGCATGAGGAGTGGGGAGGTCCAAGCCCTAAGTCCACCTCCTGAGGACATTTGTGGACACCGGGGGATGAAGAAGCAGCGTGGCCTAGGGTGTGGGAGCCGATAGGAGGCAATAGTCAGCAGTCTGAGCACACTCAGCCGACCTCCATGGCTCTTCATGGGACACCTGCAGAAAATGGTGGTGTTAGCGTGATCTGAAGGTGGAATCTTTTGCTTCCTGATGTCAAAGGTCACCTTTGGGACACCCATGCTAGGCCAAGCAAAAAGGTCAGTGGCTTAGACAAAATGGTCCCATGTCCCCGAAGCATAACCCTAGCACCCGTTATCAGAGTGACCCACGTGTCAGAGGACAGCAGAGCTAGTGGAGGTGAATAACATAGCTCTCTGTGTGGCCTCCAGAATTAGTAACTTTGAAGCCAGTAAAAAGCCCATGGCTCAGGGGTGCCTGGGGAGCACAGGAAGTAAGAAAGCAGAGGGGTGGTTGTGGGCAGGAGGCAGGCCGTGTCCTGGCTGGCACTTACCAGGTTAGGGCTCTGTCCTCCACGGGTCTTGTGCAGAGGTCTTGTTCTCTTGATGGGTACATTCTTAGGAGTGGCTCTCAGTCCTGAGAGTCACCCCTTAGCAGCAGATGCCGAGTGGGAACTGGGGCCGTCAAACATGGCCAGCTTTACCCTGAGGTCCAGTGTCCTGTGGGCCCAGGGCTGTGCTCAGTGCACTGAGCTGATGAAGATGCCAGCAAAGTGGGGCACCCTGAACTCAGAGCCGGTAAAAGGGAGGAAAGTCGCCTCAGGGTCAGTGGTCTGAGTGACGGTGACCAGGGCTCGCGGCTCCTGTAGCCCCAGTGCTACTCTGAATACTTCATAGGAGGTACCTCCTCTTACCTCTGCAGCAACCGCCAGGCCACTGCTATTATCCCCATCTCAGCATGAGGAAATGGAGGCACAGAGAAAGTCGCTTGTCCGAGGTGATTACCTAGTAGGTGGCAGAGGGGCTTGAACTTGGGCTGGTCCCACGGTGAGGGTTTCTTTTTTTTTCCAATTTTGTTTTAGTTGTTGATGGACCTCTATTTTATTTATTTATATGTGGTGCTGAGAGTCGAACCCAGTGCCTCACATGCCAGGCAAGTGAACTACTGCTGAGCCCCCGCCCCCGCCCAGGGTGCTGTTTTTGGCCACCTGACAGAGTCCTCTGACAACCCTCTGTGGTTGGCACTGTTATTATCAGCCCCGTTTTACAGATGAGGAAATTGGGGCTTGAAGGATGAAGTAATAGCCCCACGTGAAGCTTTAAAAATGCCTGAGGCAAGGCTGAAGCTCCAGCCTCGACCTTGACTTTGCACTGCTCCCCTGAGCTCCCTCCTGCCTTAGCTCAGAGCCTCCTAGGAACAGGCACTTCCTCTGGTCTGCCCCTGTGAGGGCAGCACTGATCTATTAAAAGCCCAGTAATCACTAAAGCTGCTGCTGCTACTGCTGCTGCTTCTTCTTCTTCTTCTTTTTTTTTTTTTTTTTTACCAGAATAGCAATTCCTGTGACTTAAATTACTACTGTCTTCAGCAATCAGGCATTCAGTAGTGCTGTTAAATAGTAAAGAGCGAGATAATGAAAGGAGGGAGGAGTGGTCACAGTCTGGACTGTCTGCTTCCAGCACCCAGGTGTGCAGGGCCTGGGTCCAGCAGGGGCTGTTCTCAAGATGCCTGTGGCTGTGAACTAGGGGGTGGCCAGATGAAGGTGGGTGGTTTTCTCTTTGTCCAGCAGGGGTCAGAGGAGGCTGAGGTGATGAGGGTTGGAGGGTGGTAGAGAAGGGTCACAGTGGGCCCCCACCCTGTGGAGCTCACACTGAGGAGGAGAGACTGCCTGGGGAGGGGGGAGTTGAGTTGGGCCTTGCAGGAAGTGGAACCCTCTGCCCAGGGTCCCCACCTCTGACTGCAGGGGCTCCTGCCTCAGCCCCTGCTGCCCGTCCTCTCTCTCCTTGGCAGCCTTGGCC